TGTAAATCGCCTCTTAGCGGTCGTCGTGAATTCCCTCGGTGCCGGAGACGAAAATTTACTCTGTTTTGGGTTTTTTTACCAGCGGATGCTGTACATGTTGTAATGCATGGATGAGTTCTGTCGTACTGAATTTTGATTTTTCCTCCGTTGCACCAGATCTGCAGACCTGTTTGAGAGTAAACAAATTATACTGCTCTTTCTTGTGCACAGTTGGAGCCGTGGTGTTCGCCAATCACCTCGGCAGCTATACCAGGCGGCGTTACGAGGCGAAATGGAGAAGTGTGTGGCCGCCCTTGGTAAGATCTGTGCATGGTTAACGTCTGATGCGATTTTCCATCATGTGCACTTGGATCTCGGGCTGTCTTATTTGTTTGTTAGCGTGTGCGTTGTTTTACACATATGTGAATGTACGTGTGTGCGTGCGTGCGTGCGTGTGTGTGTGTGTGTATGTGTGTGTGTGTGTGTGTCCCATATGGTGCAGTGGTATGTGCAGTCGATTTCCAATCGAGAGGTTGCGGGTTCAATTCCCGACGATTGTGGTCGCACACGTCTTTCTTCTCTTTCTCGGACTCTTCCTGACTTTTCTTTCGTTCTCCTGGGTGGTTACCAACAGCCAGTGTATGCCAGAGTATGTGGTGTGGTGTGTGTGAAAAAAAAAATGGAAAAATGAAAAAATAGGGATTCACTGGCCAGAAAAAGTCACTTCAAACAGCTGTGTGGTGGATACCAGGCTAAAAATAGTGGCGGTCAATTCATCAGCCTTGCAAGCTGTTGAATGGTGTAATCCCAGCACAAGTTGCTATGTCTAACATAGCTGTTCGCTATCATCGCTTCCGCGATGGGCATGTCTGAGGTGAGGTGAGGTGTGTGTGTGTGTGTGTGTGTGTGTGTGTGTGTGTGTGTGTGCGCGTCTGTGTTGTGTGGTTTGTGTACACACATGATGCTTTGTCTTTCCTTGTGTTGGTTGCAGTACACGACATGGACGCAAACTGGTGTAACCCGACCTGCCACAATCGAACAGCTGTTCACGCTGCAGCAGAGGGTGGTCACTCAGCAATACTGCTAGCGCTGCATAAGGTTAGACAGTGTAGCTGTTCGCAACACATCATGGTCTCTGAAGATATCACTGTCGGCACACCATCAACTTGATGCAGTCCGACTATGACCACGGTTTCTATCAGGAATAGATTAGCTGGTGTCCATTCTCATGTTCTACCCTCACTGAGTGCGTTCGATTACGCACTTGAATCGATTCATGAATGGAATCTCGCCGTTCGATTTCATGTCATGAGCCCTGGAATCGATTCGGAATCGATTCGCCCTATTCACATGGAGTGATGTGAATAGCGCGAATCGATCCATGAATGGATTCGTGTATAGATTCGCAGGCGTAATCGAACACACTCACTGTATGGTAGTGTAGCTGCCACATACTGTGTATTCACGCACGTATACCAGCAATCCTATATCTGAAGACATGCACTTTTTACCGTTTACAAATCGCGAAGATGTGCGGCTACACTGGCACGCTCCTTGCAACGTTAGTGAGTTCCTTGTTTGTGCAGTGTGATGGCAAAGCTGCGTAGTGCGAGTATGGGTTTTCTTTAGTGAATGAAAGAAAGGGTGTGCTTGAAGGTATCGGCTGAGTGCGATAGTCTTTCAGTGCACAGTCAACTTTGTGAATACCGGTGTGGACCTTGGATATAACAAAAAAAAAACTCGTGAATAATGACATTTCAGACCTGTGCCCATTAGTTTGTCTGCATACTTTCAACTTCGCGAACAACGGCAAGTCACGAATAGCAACACTTCTCTCAAGCACCGCGATCCAGGGTCATTATTCACAAGGTTGACTGTAGCCGGTTATGATAGTAACTTTACTGTAAAACTCTGCTCTTGATCTTGTGTGTGAATGTGTCCTTGTGTGTGTGTGATTATGTCCTTGTGTGTGATTATAAGGATGTGCCCGTCCATGTACATAGTGTGTTACGGTAGGAATTCACCCAGTAGATAAAAATGTGCTCCGCTGCTTGCAGACCTGTTGATCCTGTCGAGTACGGTGTAGCTCACTTTGCGTCTTTTCAACGGTTTGTCTTGGGTGTTTTGTGTTACTATGCAGCACCTTGGAAAAATGGATGCGAAGGATGACAACGGAGTCACTCCTCTGGTATGATGTTCCATCCAATGACATACGATGTGTTTGTGTGTGTGTGTGTGTGTGTGTGTGTGTGCATGTTTGTTTGTGTGTGTGTGTGTGTGTGTGTGTATGTGTGTGCGTGTTTGTGCGTGTTTGTGTGTGTGCGTGCGTGCGTGCATGCATGCAAGTGTGTTCGTGCATGTGTGTGTGTGTGTGTGTGTGTGTGTGTGTGTGTGTGTGTGTGTGTGTGTGTGTGTGTGTGTGTGTGTGTGTGTGTGTGTGTGTGTGTGTGTACGCACGTGTACAAGAACCTGTGTTGGTAACGGTGTATAAAGTTGGAACAGAAGGAACCTGAGAGGTCCTGCTGCTTCAGATCTGCTGTGGTCACGAAACTGCAGATTTCAATATCCTTTTATGGTGCCAGGAGGACTTCTTAAAAGTCTTTTATCTTTGAAGATTGTGCGTAAGACAAGAGAAAGTGGAACATCTTACTTGCACGAAGGATAGCGTTCTTCCTAGCTGGCTCCCTCTTGTGGCTGTCTTTCTCCATACCAAACTATGTCCATGTATCCGCCTTCCTGTCCATTCATCTGCCTTTGTATAGATATTGGCAGTGGTCAATGATCGGATCAGTGCTGTGGAGTTGCTCAAGGGCTGCAACGTGGACTTTAACCACCAGGTTGGTAATTAACCCGTGCCAGTATGTGTACCGATATTTTGACCTCCAATGTAGAAGTTTTTAGTTGTCACACACACCATTGGACCATTGGACCATTGGACGCCCATCGCCGGAGGCGATGATAGCGATGCTACAGCAGAAGCCATAGCAGCTTGTGCACACACACACACGCACGCGTGCGCACACACACACACAGAGGGCAGAACAAGGTTATATTTGCAACTCGATCTTCAGGCAACATTGCGAACAAGCTAGTAGCGTTGCCTGATGATGGCTTTTGTGTCACACTCCCAGTTGCTACCAAACCTTCTTTTTGCCTTATCCTGGTATTGCGCCAAGCGCGTAGCCAACATGGGGGCACGGGAGCACATGCACCCCCCCCCCCCCTAAAGTTTCGACCTCGGCTCAGCATGCACATAATGACCACGAATGACATGCACCAGCCATCCTACATATGCATGTATGTGGCCATGCACCACCACCCCCCCCCCCCTAAAAGGGGGACCAGCTACGCCCCTGTGAGCGCTCTGTGAATGGAGTGACAGCTCTGCAGTATCGGTTTGTTTCTGTAACTAATAACTTTTGTAAAAGTCACCGGTTGCAGGGGTGTTCTGTTAGCGTACAGCTATTCTGCTCTCTATTGTTTTTAGTTTGCACAATGTGTAGGGAACTGTGATGAGAAATCTTTGAAACGGAACCAACTCACGCAGGTATTCCTCTGATCTGCTTCTCATCAAATGCTTTGTTCTTCCTGCAGAGCTGAGTTCGCAGACACATTTGATTTTCCGTGTGTGTTTTTCATGCATATGTACATGTTTTTCATGCGTACATGTGTGTGTGTGTGTGTGTGTGTGTTTGTGTGTTTGTTTTTAGGATAAGGAGGGGAAGTCCTGCTTGCACCATGCTTGCGAGCAGAAGAATTTGGGTATGATCGAGTGCTTGATGACAGTTCGCACACTGGACATCAATATGCCGGTATGTACTAGGATGCCTTCTACTGACTCAAACACATGTGCTGTTTCCATAGTGTAGCGGTTATCACGTTCGCCTAACACGCGAAAGGTCCCCGGTTCGATCCCGGGTGGAAACATCAAATTCTTTTTTTCTGGTTCTGTGGATGATCTCGTCGCAGTTCCAGGGCCCGGTTTCCTTGCTTCATGGAACGACATTCATTTTCTTGACTGGAATCAGCTTCTTCTTTTTTAGGTTGTGTTTACACGAGAATTTTCAACCAGCCATGAACACTGATTGTCTCAAGTATACACGATGCACCCGGGTGGAGATTGAGAAAACATACTTCTGTACGTGTGTGCGTATTTCACGCCAGGACTGCACAGCACTGCATAGGCAAGTTCCTGGCAAAGTAGTCACACGACCATTCAGGACTCTCTTTAAATGGACTTTTGTCTGCATGTCAGTTATCTCCCCGGGTTTGCCGTTTTGATGTAAACACTCACCTGCTTTCCACCGTACAGACTTTCAACCCGGGTTGAAAATTCCCATGTAAACACATTTATCAAGTTTGGTGTAGGGTAGCACCAAGAGTTCATAAACAAGAGTATGCAACTGTGATCTCTTTTCTATGGGCCAGATGCGCGGCATACTGCCTTCATTACATCATTCAGCTGCAGTCCACGCACTGCGCAAAATCAAACACCGCACTTTCCCTCCGGTTTGAAATGAACTTTCGTACGGAACTGGAGTTCACGCACCACAATTTAGAGATCGCGTAGGTACTGGAATGAATCGAGCAAAAGCGCTTGTGCGAGAAATTGTGGGTTTGAGTGCATGCTTTCAGAGCGTGATAGAGGCACGTTACGTAATGAAGGCAGCGCGCCGCGCACAGACCCATAACCACAGTTGCGTACTCTTGTCATGGACTGGAGAAATAACAATACGCAATGGGCAAGGTCAAGGTGTGTCCCTGTGTGTGTGTGTGTATATTTGTGTGTCTGTGTTCATGCCTGTGTGTGTCCCTGCGTGTGTGTCCATCAGGATGCCGGCGGCTGGACCCCGTTGATGTGGTCGGCGGAATCGGACACTGTCAGCATAGTGGAGCAGCTTGTGAAGAACGGTGCTCAGGTGGACCGGTGCGACAAGGTAAAGCATTACGGTAGAGATATCTCTTCTGAACGTCTTCATTGACGAAGGCTGTCAAGAGCATGTTACTTGGTGTCTAACATCACACATCTTATCCTTCATGCAGGGAATTGCCTTTCAGAAAGGTGCCGTTGTTGACCCAGGCATGATGCCTTGCCCTTGCAGGGATACTAGCGTATTGTACGTCGTTAGCTCTTCGGATTGTAGGTGGCATCAGGCATTTTCTGTCCGGAGTAGCTCCCTTGGTCTGATGTGTATCATTCGTGGGTTGCGCCACCCTGGCTGTGCCAATTTTCGCCACATTCCTGTGTTTGACTTTCTGGTGCTGTGCAGATTCTAGGCTGGCTTACTATTAAATGTGCTGAAGAATTCTTGCGTGTTCTCCTGGTTTTGTTGTCCGGCTAGGAACTAAACACGGCACTCCACTGGGCAGCGTTTGGTGGTGCCAAGCACACCGTTTCATTCCTGGTCCAGGCCGGGGCGGCCATCAATGCGCTGACGGTGAAAGGCGACACGCCGCTGTGAGTGTTGCTCAGTGTGTGGCCGTGTGTGACTGTGTGTGTGTGTGTCTGTGTGTGTGTGTCTGTGTGTGTGTGTCTGTGTCTGTGTGTGTGTTTGCGTGCGTGTGTGGGCACATGTTATGCTCAGGCGTGCGATTTGTTGGTGCCGGTGGTAAGCGGATGTGCAAACTCTACTTTAACGTGCTACTTACTTACCTGCGATTTGTAACTTTCAGCAGAATTACAAAAAAATACTTCATACTGGCTATCTCTATGCACAATGCCTTTGTACCCACATTGTGTTAGGTCATGTAAAGCACATGTTGTACTCTGTGCTGATGTTCCACTGTAGCACTGAGTACAGTGTATATGTATACTACTTGTCCTATTGTGTGCTGTTTCTGTACAGGCACATTGCTGCTCGGAACGATCACGACGACTGTGTGATGTAAGTCAGATCAGCTACATAGCACACCTGTCCCTGAACTGGATATCAGATCCCACCCCCATTATCAAGCTTTCATATTGGTTTTTTCCCTTCAGTTTGCGTTCACAGGTCATGGTAAAGATTGCTCAATAGAAGCATGTTCCGCAAGAATAGCATTCTAAGAGCAGTGGAAGTACTGCTAGCTGATGTAGAGTTTCAGGAGGTGCGAGCAACTTTCTGCGCTTGAAGCTGCCTATTGTCCGAATTACTGTGTGTGTGTGTTTGTGTGTGTGTATGTACGCGTGCACGCATGTGTGTCTGTGTCTGTGTGCCCGCGCGCGTGTGTGTGAGTAGTAAGCAGTGTGAGGGTCCTGTCTCAGGTACATGCCTAAAAATGGGGTACTATTGAAAATGGGGTACTAATAGTACCCCATTTTTGCGTTGAAAATTATTTTTGGCCCGTTTTTTGCGGATGAAAAAAATGTTGGTTTGGGTCTTAGGACCCCATTTTATGGGTCCCGACCTTTTTTTTTAGTGAAAATTATTTTTGGCCCCATTTCTTTGTGTATAAAAGTAATGTTGTCCTTGTTATTTTTATACCTCTTTTTGGTCCTCAGTCTGATTATCTAACGTCATGATGACGATGCCTCGCGCCGGGCAAACTTTTTTCAGACTATATAAATGTGTATGCACGTGCAAAATGTTTTGTGCGATGCTGTGTTGGTGCTATTATTATCGAGCATCATAATAATCGTGCAGTTCAAAGGAAGAGTCGATTTGCTTCACTATGTTATTGATACGCTATTGCGTTCTGGAAGCGAGGTATAGATAGGTAGTTAGAGAAACGAGCAGACATGGAGAAGCAGACCCGCGCGTCGCACAACTCTCAGACACAAGGTAAGACGTTCGAGTTGTTTTGAAATTACAGTTTAGTGAAGCACGATTATATTATTGTGAAGACATCTTGTAATAATTTGTCAGCGATAGATACTAAATATTGCGACGGAGCTAGATACATTATAATAAATGAGAAAAAAAGAAAAATCCTATCCACCCAGCGAGGTGAACACTAATGAAACATACGATTGACTTCTAAATTATTATTATTGAATTCTATACTATGTGAAACAATGTACCCTACGATTGACATCAGATCTATATTGATAGTAGTAGTAGTAGTAGAGAGAGAGAGAGAGAGAGAGAGAGAGAGAGAGAGAGAGAGAGAGAGAGAGAGAGAGAGAGAGAGAGAGAGAGAGAGAGAGAGAGAGAGAGAGAGAGAGAGAGAGAGAGAGAGAGAGAGAGAGAGAGAGAGAGAGAAAGAAGCATACCGTTTGAATTTTTATCATTCATTCCGAGTCGATATCATCCACCTCTCTGGGCCTCTTCCGGGCATAGGCCGACGTGGCGCTGTTAGAAGAATTAGACTCCTCGTCGAACTCTACCTTTATCCGAATGTTGAATCGTCTTCTGGCGTGGACACGGAGTCGCACAGCTGGGCTTGTGAATATCTTCCCTGAGTCATTTCGAATAAATATGTTGTCATTAATCGTCATGATGAGCCGTACGAAGTTGCCAACTGACATCTTTTCACCGTTGGTGGTTATGAGTGTCTGAAGCTCATTTCGTAGTAGAGCGTTGAAGTACGTGAACATCTCTGTCTTGCCGTTCTTGATGTGTATCAACATACCGCTGTCCGCGCTCGATAACTCTTCGAAGTCAAAGATGATATTCTGAACACTGAACAGGTTCAAATCCAGTGAATTGTCCGGTAGGGTGTCCGGGAGAGGCGCTGATGCTGCCGCCACCACCGCAGTGTCAAACGCAATGTCTGTAGTCACGTTGTCGGCAGTCCTCCACTTCTTGAGGAATGCGATCACCAGTCGAGCCAATTCAGTCTCGGGGAGGTCTTGCACGGTGTCGTGTTCCCTTTCACAAAAACGCGAGTCCACAAGCATCATGGGGATGGCTGAAAGCCACGCCTTGAATTCACACTTCTCCCTGTTGAATGATATAGTTGAAGGATGCAGATAGACCTGACACTCTTCGTTCATCGGGAAGTTGGGCATACCCTTGGTTGGCTTGAGATACACTGCAGTCGCACTCTTCCCTTGGTACATTGCAGGGAAGATGTTACTCCGTATCCTGTTGATATGCGGAGATCTCACGGCACGTCTCAAAGGTGTTGAGGTCTTCAGGAAGAATTGAATGACATCGTCTTGTGAAGCCTGGACGTACAGCTTAAGTTGACCAAAGCGTCCTTCACATACCGTGCCATTGACAAGCATGCCCGGTAAATCACCGCGCGTATAGTAGAAATCGGTGTCAGGAGCAACATGATAGTCGTGAGCGGTCTTGCTGTACATTGCTTGAACACACTCTGCTGCCCCATCCGTAATAATGGTGGCGACACCTGGTAGTATGGTAGGACGAGGAGATGGCATCTTGATCTTAGGCAGAGGCTCCAGATTCGGATTACGGCTAGCACGACGCTTGTGGAGACCGGACTTCTTTATCGTCTTGATAGCGAACGGGTCAATACCCAAACAGTCCACAACATCTTCACCAGCAACAACAGCATTAGTGGCCATCGTGATATCAGTCGAGCACTCGAGAAGAGAGAGAGGGAGAAGGCTCAGTGAGCAGTGAAACAACAAAGGTGGTTGTGATCGAATGGAGGACTGTGCTTGCCCATTTATACCCTTTTGAGCGGCGTGAGGTTGAAATAACATACTATGGGAGGTGACGACCTTGGAGAACACGCTGAAATTGTTCAAGATTCATCCAATCAGAGCTCGCCATGAGCAGATGATAAGATTTAACCAATCACAGCACGACTTGCACCGGACCTGTCTGAACATGTCTCGTACATGTCCGAACATGTCTTGGACATGTCTGGACAGGTTCCCCAAAAGGGTAAATCTCCATCACAGTGACGTGTTGCTAACATTGATGACGCACTGCAGTCTTGCTAAATTGATAGAGTATGTTAGCAAGATCAGGTGGTAGACAGGTCACGTGATTTACTAAATATTCTAGACTGTAGTCATGCCAACAATAAGCATCTATTAGAAGATGCATCATGGTAAGGTCTTCAGGTGACATCAAGGACAAATTAACTTTCAGAGTGTTTAGCTGTCTAGTGGACAGAGGACCCTTGATGTTTTCCATGAGATGCAGAAGAAAGAACAGTGGAAAACATGATGGAAGAGGTTGTGTAATGCGACTGCTTCTCAACCATGACACATTACTGCGCGGTAAAGAAGAACGCAGTGTACGCACTGCATCATGATCCTCATGAAGTATACAGGATAAGACTATTGCGTAGTTCATACTTTTATAGCTACTGGCCTTCTTCATCGCTTGCAATGCCTCTTGAACAGGGTGAAACTGTGTATGTGGTAACGTGAAGTCTATCTTGTTGAGAAAATGTACAAGGTGACGATTCACACCTGCAATGCGATCGGAATCCGTGTAGGTCTTTATGGTAGTACAACGCTCTCTCCACTTTACCTCGGGCATGTAAATATCAGCCATTACCAATCCACACTGAGAACAAACTCTATGACCAGCATGCTCAACTTGTTCTTCACGATGATAACACACTTCTTCACCGTCACTTTCCTCCTCCTTCTTCTTCTTCTTCTTTTCCTCCAGCGCACATTGCTTCTTTGAACGTACATAAGCATACAGGATCTGAAATTCAGAATCCATTTTCACTGCACCACAACAACTTGAAACTGACTGGATCATCATTCAAGCACACACCTTTTATACTTGAATAGATAATCCAAAAAAATTGGTAAATTTTGCCCGCATCGTCATGATGTCAGATAATTTAGACTGATGACCAAAAAAAAAAAAGGAGTACAAAATAACAGTCGCAACATTATTTTTATACGCAAAAAAAAGGGGCCAAAAATAATTTTCACTAAAAAAAAAGGTCGGGACCCATAAAATGGGGTCCTAAGACCCAAACCAACATTTTTTCATGCGCAAAAAAACCGGGCCAAAAATAATTTTCAATGCAAAAATTGGGTACTATTAGTACCCCATTTTCAATAGTACCCCATTTTTAGGCATGTACCTGAGACAGGACCCTCACACTGCTTACTACTTGTGTGTGTGTGTGTGTGTGTGTGTGTGTGTGTGTGTGTGTCCGTGTATGCATGTGACACACACACACACACCTGTATGTGGGTAGGTGTGTGTGGTTTGTACTTGGGCACTCATACACTTGTGTACATGTACATGGTGGAATCTATACAGTTATGGGCACAGGTTATGCGATCAAGTCCACCAACTAAACCAGATTTTGAACAGTCAGACGTGCACAATCTAGCACAAAACTGGCAAGTGTCATGTACTACAAATGTAATACTGTTGGCATTCGCCTTCAGTTGTTTCCCCAATACCCTATACAATGTACTGTGCATTTCTTGTCTTCGTCTTGTATTGCTCAGACGACTCCTTCGCAAGGCAGATCAGTTCATTGCCAATAACTCCGGCGAACTTCCAGTTGATGTAAGAATCAGAATGTGTATCCTGTGAGGTTTTGCAGATGTATTACTTCAGCATCCGGCCGGCTTGGACGGAAGTTGCATTGAACTGCAAGGAATGTTGAACAGTGTCGTTAGTTGTACGATGCCGACTACTGTAAAACCAGAAAATTTCGGTGGAATTTTATTTTTCGGTAACTTTGGTACAGGTAATTTTTACCTAAAATAAAACGTACCGAAAATATACGTAACATTACATGCATGCCGACTGCAGTACGGAAAAGTGGTTTACCGAAAATTTTTGCTGTACCGAACCATTGATTTTGGGAAATACCGAAAATATTACACCACCGAACATTCCCGGTTTTACAGTACGTGTATGTTGACTGTCTTTTGTGCTGTGCATGGTGGTGACCAGACACAGTTCTTTATGATGGTTGAGCAGTATTCGCAGTATTGCAGGTAAAACCTGGTTTCAGTGACCACCCATGGGACGGACCCATTGCCGTCTTACACTGGTAGTCTCTGAAGTCAGGGTGAGCAAGTTGCAACAGTCGACACACCTGGTGCCGAAGAAAAGTGGCCTTATGGTCAGGTATACTCGTAGACCATGTGCTTACCTGACCAGATTTACATGTGTCTAAGAGGAGAGGAATTGTCTTTGCATACAGTCCAGGTACATGTACATGTACATCAAGATCACACTTGACAACCTTCTCTTCATTTCTCTCTCTCTCTCGTTCATTGGTTTCTGGTGTAGCTTGTGGAGCCGAATGGCGAGGCGTACTTGGCTCTCAAAGTGCTGGAAGCATCCAGCAAACCCTGTCCCCCTCCTCAACGGTTTAAGCCCCTGTACATTCCGTAAGTACCCAGTGCTTTTTTGTACCACCTTTCTCATAACTAATGTGTAGTGGCAGTGGTGAGGCTTCTTGCAACTTCATTCATAGGAAAAAGAAAGAAAAAAAGGTTTCAGAGCAGACCCGTTACGCTTCACACGCTCACGCATTATACTTCTTGCTGACTTAATCAGCGCACATTTTGATGTGATGCGGAGGGAATATGACTGTCTGGACCTGGCATCTGTCTCTTGACGTTCATTCCTATCTCGCCATGGAGAACATTTACTGAATATGACACTGCTGTGCTGCCGTATGTATGCTGTGCTGCCATTCTGCAGTGATATCAGCAAAGGGAGAGAAGTACACGCAGTGTCTTGTTATAATGATGTAAGTCACCTTCGCATTCGCCTACTTTAACTTCTGCCTTGGTGCTCCACAGTGGAAACATCATTGTCTAATTTGTCTTGATAATTTTTCATCGCCAATACAATGTAGACTGGAAATAAAGCCGCTGGATATGTTTAACGCTGCTTTAGCGGCATGCAGCATTATGATTTTGTGGACTGTTTGCGTGTTTCTGGAGTAAGCTTGTGTGCGGTACTGCTGCTGCTGCTGCTATTATGAAATGCACGCGTGCACTGTATGTTGATAGTACTATTGTCTGTGTCACTCGCATCACTCATTTTTTTTAACAAAGCTTGGTTTCTTTGAAATGTGTGTCACGAACTTGAAGTTGAACTGTGACTTCTGTGCCCTGCGCTGCTGTAGGTTGATGGTGAACTGCCACCCGCTGACTTCGTGTATGTGGCACAAAATGTAGAGACGAGAATTGACACGTCGATCAAAAGAGCGATCATGACTATGGATGTAAGCAGCCTCTATCCTATATCTCTGTCTCTCTCTTTGTCTCTGCCTCTCTGTCTCTGCCTCTCTGTCTCTTCCTCTCTGTCTCTGTCTCCCTGTCTCTCTGTCTGTCTCTCTCTTTCTCTGTCTCTCTCTGTCTGTGTGTGTGTGTGTGTGTCTCTCTCTCTCTTTCTCTCTCTCTCTCTCTCTCTCTCTCTCTCTCTCTCTCTCTCTCTCTCTCTCTCTCTCTCTCTCTCTCTCTCTCTCTCTCTCTCTCTCTCTCTCTCTCTCTCTCTTCCTGCCTGCCTGCCTGCCTGTCTATCTAGCTGATGATCTGTGCCCCACAGATTGAGTATTTGTCCGTTCGTCTGTCTGTCTGTCATGTGTGAACCCCATACCGCTTGTGTTTTCATATGCTGTCATTATATTCATATTGTTGTTGTTGCTGTTGCTGTTGCTGTTGTTGTTGTTGTTGTTATCGTCGTCGTCGTTGTTGATGCTGTTGCTGTTGCTGTTGTCGTTGTTTTGCATCTAGTGTTGCCGGTGTGATTCTGCTTTGAGTGCCTGCTGTACGTCAGCACGCAGCTGCTGTTGTGTAGAGCGCAACCCAAGGCAAATGTCCTGGTACACCAAGGTAAGAGAGAAAGAGCGAGAGAGAGAGAGAGAGAGAGAGAGAGAGAGAGAGAGAGAGAGAGAGAGAGAGAGAGAGAGAGGGGGGGGGGGGGGAAGCTTAATATGTATGACTGAGATGAGGTGGATGTACATGATCGTGTACATGTGTCTACACAAATAAAATCAGGTTGTTCTTTGAACTATTTTGTTTCTATATCTCAAAAACGTTAATGAGACTGCTGGTGTTAGTCTTTTGAGGTGAAGCTTGTGCATTGTGTGAAGCTTGTAGAAGTGGAACATGGACCATGGATCATGATGGCAAGTCTCATACCGGCTAATATTTACTGATATGTCTAAAGCCTGGTTCACATTCGACGCAACCCTGACGGTACGGGGCATAAGGGCCTGTCGGGACGGCTGGGGTGAGCTGTAAAATCTTGTATGATTCATACGACACGACATGCAGCAGTCGTTGCGATGTTCACCGTCGAACGGCGCGAGTCACAAGGCACGGTCCGTGACAGGGCGACTTTCGGACCTAATTTCTTGTTTTTCGGGTCTTCTTTTCAATTATTTCTCCTTGAATGAAGTGGAATCAAGTTCACAATACCAGGTTCTCATGAAGACCAAAAAAGTAGCCCTGAAAGTTGTGCCATTCGAATAATAGCCTCAGGAAATGATACAAACAGTTCGTTTCTCACATTCCTGGACTATCCCTAAATAGTAGCCGGAGTAAATGCAGTAAGTGACATGAGATCTTATCTTGCTAAAATTCAACTCAAGTCATGTTAGCCGCCACTCTGTGAGTTATCATGGGAAGCGTAGTGTTCGAAATGCTAAAAATTCCCCAAGTGCGTACTGTAATTTCAGAAATTTTCGGTGCTCAATATTTTCGGTATGAGGGCAAAAGGCCAGGTTTGGTGAACAGAAATTTTAGGTACAGAGAAGCAATTCCCTATTAGATTATGTGTGTTAGTGTTTTTTCGGTGTGTTGAAATTTTAGGTATGAAACAGATGCGCCGAAAGTAAAAGTACCCCGAAAATTTGTCAAATTACAGTAGTCGGCACACGCCGCCGTTTCCTGTTCACACTCTAAATGCAGCCGTTTTGTACGCTTGCATCCCCGTCTAAACCCGTTTACGGTGTGAAACGTTGAACTGATCCAACTCTTCCTGTAGCTTCCCGATCCGTACGGTAGTACGGTTGCGTTCCCGTTCCTGGTGTTCACATTGGACGCCGCCAGACCAGACCGTCGCTTCCCGTCGATCCTTGCGTCGCTTCCCGTCGATCCTTGCGTCGCGTCCCGTCGCGCCCCATCGAATGTGAACTAGGCTTAATACCGGAGAGTGAGGGACGGGGACATTCACGATTTTGCTGATCTGTTTCGCCAACTTCTTTGAAAGTGATTTCTCTGTGTGCGCGTTCATGTGTGATATGACTTGTGTGTCTGCATGTGCGTATGTATGGTTGTATTTGTGTGTGTGTGCATCTGTATGCGCATTGTTGTTTTAGGATGGCTTGATCGACCTTGATATCTTCAAAATCAAGGAACCAGTCCTGTATGATATGTTATGTAATTGTCGTATGGATTGTCCCAATCGACTTGTTCAGCATGGCACAAAGTAAGCTCTCACTCATCTGTTCTGCACAGATAATGGTCCTGTTGCTGTTGCTGTTGCTGTTGCTGCTTTTGTTATAAATTATAGTACTGATGTTTGTTGAAGTACATCACACGACGCTGTCACTCAACAGCATCATAGACGCATAATAATAGGAAACACAGTGTTCACATTTTCCCAAGAGTGTCCCATCGACTCGTCCTTGCTCTGAGGCACGCCTGTTGGATACCGGTATCTCGGATCTCATGGCTTGCTGGTGTTCAGTCTGTGTCGATCGTGGAGGATGCAGGGGCGGATCCAGAGATCTCTACGAATAGGTGATACATGTACATGTCCATGCATGTGGTTTCCAGCAGTACATTTTCAAAATTTAGGGGTTCCATGGACCCCCCAGTATCCGCCCCTGGGATGGGGTAGAAGAAACACTGGGATGTGCCATCACAAGACTGCTTCATTGCCTTCTTACAATGTGAAAGTCAGGATGGCCGAGTGGTCTAAGGCGCTGCGTTCAGGTCGCAGTCTACTTCTGTAGGCGTGGGTTCGAATCCCACTTCTGACATCTTATTTTTTCTTTTCTTGCAAAATTGTTTGTTCATGGATCTTTAACCACAAGGTATATGAGTACATTGCAACAGTTCAGTACAGCATAGCGTTACCCTGGATTATGCATTCGTTTTTAGATGTACAGTCAGACCTCGTTTATCCGGTTCTCTTTTATCCGGATCCCTCGCCATCCGGAAGAAAATCACTCGTTACCAATTTACAGCATATGGCATGCATACATACAGTATGTGTGTTCGATTATCCGGTTCCCTCGCCTATCCGGCTATTTTTGTGGAAAACGGATGTGTGCGGTTAAGCGAGGTCTGGCTGTACTTAGTACTCTTTCCTGCTCCATAGATTCATCATCATGTATATGCTATCAAGATCCTTTGACCCTGATATCAAGGGCATTGGGAGATTGTTTGCAGCCGGCGCAGCCGTACAGAGATCGTGGATTTTGAACAGCTTGCTTGGCGTGAAGCATCACGCTGACACTTGTTGTATCATACTTTTTGTATGTTCTGGTGGTGTTGCTTCAGATATCAGCTTCAACTTTACAAAACGGAAAAGATGGGTAAGTGCCTTAGCTATGATCTATCTAGATTCCTCATGTCAATGTGCCATTTACTAATACTGTAATACATCAGGATCTTCACAGTAGGGCTTTCACTGCTCAGACGGTGCTCGATACCCGCATTTCCTGTGCTCTCTCCCGTGCATGCACGCGCGCACGCACACACGCACACACATATACACGCACGCACAGTCACGTTCCCTCACTCTCGTACTCTCTTTTTCTCTGTCTCTCAGGCTGGGGTGTGCGCACGGCGAAACGGATACCCAGAGGCAGTTTTGTATGCGAGTAAGTCATAGTGTTCTGTTGCCCGTTTTATAAAGTTGTTTTTGCATTGACATGCGTGTGCAGAATGAGAACATCAATATAAGATTAGAGTACGTATTCTGGGCACTCTGGGGAGGGATTATGGCCATTCAAATCTGCGTGGTCGTGTTGTGTGCCGTGGTGATCGTAAAAACATTTTTTTTTACTTCACCAAAATGATCGTAATATTTTTTATTTTACTTCACCAAAATGAACAGGCATGTTATGCCTTCTCACCGGCTGTGACGGCCGGTCCTCACCGGATGATGAAAATAGTTTATATGATGGAAAGAAGAAGGAGAGGTGAGACGTACAGCATCTGGCTAAAATGAGAAGAAATGGGGAAGGAGAGGAAGAATAAGAGAAGTGGGGACAGGGGAAAGGGGAAAGGAGGACGAGAAAAGCGTCATTTTATGCTTAGATATTGCAGTTGGATTTTATGTGAGGTATTGCAAGGATATTTCAATGGTGATACAGTGGAAGAATATTTGAACTGAAATCAATCTGTGAGATTGGAAAGGTTCAGGTTAGAAAGAGAATCTTTGAAGAGGTGGAACCGATACTCGGATCGTATACTGTACAATCGGGAATTTTCGGTGGTTTAATATTTTCGGTATTTCCCAAAATCAACGGTTCGGTAGCACGACAATTTTGATAAACCAGTTTTCCGTACTGCAGTCGGCATGCATGTACGTATATTTTCGGTGCATTTTATTTTAGGTGAAAATTGTCTGCACCGAAGTTACCGAAATAAAACACCTCGAAAATTTCTGCTTTTATAGTACCTCTAGGTTTGTGATGAAGCTCTGTGCGTACTCGTCTTTATACTTTGTGCTGTGTAGATACGTTGGTGAATTGATCTCAGATGATGATGCTGAGGAGCGTGGTAATGATTCGTATATATTTGATATTGGCTTGGAGGTTAGTCGTATGGCCTGTGCAGGCCTGCCTGTATGTGTGTGTGTGTGGGGGGGGGGGGGTGTTTGTGTGTGTGCATGCGCATGTGTCTGCATGTGTGTCTAAATGCATGCTTGCAATTGAATATACGTGTGCCCCGTTTCAAGAGGTAATGTGTTTTTTCATCGATTAATAAAATCTAGTATCAGGGCTGCCGCTTTTCTATGAGTAGAAATCTGAACCGGTCCACCCCCGACCAAGGGGTATAATGGGAGACGGCGCCCCATTTAGAAGCCAAAGGATTTCTTAGGATGTCAAAGATCCGAAACATCAGATTACGGCACTTTCATGAACAATGAAAGTAAGGTAAATAAATAATTTCACGGTTCACTTGAGACTCAGTTAGGCTGAGTTTTCAGCATCCGTAGTAACGCCACCACCCTGCATAGATGTAAGTTCCAGATGCAAAGTAAGATAGTGAAGCAGGATTCGGCCGGTTCGTCGGAACGACCCGTAAAGATCAGAGCGTTTCAGAAAAATCGAAACAAGTGGCAGCTCTGTAATAGTAATGGCACCCAGCGCTAACGAAGATGAAGCGTAGCATTCTTTGAAGACGATTGCTGTAGTTGTATGCGGGTATGACACAGCTTCAGATACTGGCACTGATGTGCTTGAATTCCTTCTCTGCTCTGCCGTGCTACTCGTTAGGGCATTGCTCTTCCTGCATGTGGGCAGTCTCATCCATCCTCTCTGTCTATCCCAAGTTTCAACCTAATGGCGTGTGTTTGTTCCTGCATCTCTGCGGGGTTTTTTGTTGTGAAATTTTATCCTGACAGAGCAGCGACGACATGTGGTGTGTGGATGCATGCCGATATGGTAACATTGCACGTTTCATCAATCATAGCTGCGAGCCCAACATCAAACCGATCCGTGTCTTTGCACAACATCAGGTAAGCTAGGCCAACTTCCATCTACTACTAGTAGCTGTATGTGCGCGTACATGTGTGTGTGTGTGTGTGTGTGTGTGTGTGTGTGTGTGTGTGTGTGTGTGTGTGTGTATGTGTGTGTATGTGTGTGTGTGTGTGTGTGTGTGTGTGTGTGTGTGTGTGTGTGTGTGTGTGTGTGTGTGTGTGTGTGTGTGTGTGTGTGTGTGTGTGTGTGTGTGTGTGTGTGTGTGTGTGTGTGTGTGTGTGTGTGTGTGTGTGTGTGTGTGTGTGTGTGTGTGTGTGTGTGTGTGTGTGTGTGTGTGTGTGTGTGTGTGTGTGTGTGTGTGTGTGTGTGTGTGTGTGTGTGTGTGTGTGTGTGTGTGTGTGTGTGTGTGTGTGTGTGTGTGTGTGTGTGTGTGTGTGTGTGTGTGTGTGTGTGTATGTGCAAGTATGTGTGTGTGGGGGGGGGGGGGGTGCGCGCAGCTACATTGTACATATACCATTATGCCCACAAAAGGCACAAAGGAGTTTTACAGAGTGTGTCGTATTCTCCTCTGTGCCTCTTTGTGTGTAATGGTGCTCCACAGTGTTGTGATGGGCCCTGTCCGCTGGCTAAAGCCTTAGGGCCTGGTCAGACTGCTGCAAATTTTCGGTGCCTGACGAAAAAGAAAATCGTTCAAGATTGGAATCGCAATCACATTGCACATGTGGGGAGAATGAAAATTCGAAATTCATTTCGAGCGTAAGTGTTATCGCCACGAACAACGTCAAATTCCTTCACCTCAGTAATCGCGAACACCTTCAGTGCAATCCTTGCAACCATCCTTATGAGTTTTGTTGTTGGCAGTGGCCAATTAGCTCCTCGATATCGAGATGAAAAAATCGGTGAATATTAGCGCCAATTGCATATCAGCGTCAAACTCCTGTTTGGAGCGGAAAAGCGTGGTCCGTTCGTGCTTTTTTTTGGAGCGTCAACTCTCGATTTCGCCGCTCTGGCGTCAGGTTTCTATGGAGATTCGGATTATAATCACAGGATTATTTCGTTTTTGCCGCAGTCTGACCAGGCCCTAAGGGAACCTCACTGTACCACTATACCAGTACCAACGTTGCATTTCCACTTTTTTCCATTTCGTTTGTTAGGATCATAGATTTCCGCACATGGCTTTGTTTTCGACTGACGACGTTGAGTCCGGTGCTCAAATATGGTAAGCGACTGTCTGGGGTCTGGAATTTCAGTAATTATGTTCATGTGTGCACTGTGGGCCTGTGACAGGTTTACCGAATGCGTATCCTCTCATCTATGCTGGTCTAGTTTCTGAAAGTGCCTGATAAGCGCGATCAGCAAACCCATGTGCGTTGTCTTGCCAGTGTGTTGTTGCTGCTGCTGCTGCTGCTGCTGCTGCTCTGATTACTGGCTGATCATGATCAGTCAATTGGAGGCCTTGGTAGCAAGGGCGTCGTCACCCACGGTACGGCCAGTACGATCATGGCCATACCACTTTTCGTCCAGGATGGTCCGCCCAGAGCGCCGGTGGAGCGCTAAAACGTGCCCGGTTGGCCGAAAATCCAATTTTTCCCCAGGGTGCACCCCGGCCACCCTGGACCCCGGTCGTACCACTCCTCCCCTGAGTAGCCTTACCATACCATGGCCACCGTCCTGTGTGGACACACGTGTCTCTCCTCCGTCTTCTCCCCCCTCTTCGCCATCCATCATCTATTGCCACCGGTTAGCTTTCTAGCGTTCTTGCCTGCCCAATGCTCTACGTATCCACCGATAGTTGTCACCTACTCTCTCCCTTTCTTTCTTGTGCTGTTGTGTAGTTTTGACTATGGGGCCAACTTTTGGAAAGTGAAAGGTCGGCACTTTTCTTGTGAGTGCGGTACGCCGTCGTGTAGCTACAAGCGCAAGAAGCGGTGATAGCGTAAGCACATCGTGCTGCTCCTCATCGCTGCCCCGTCTTGTTATCTTGACCTTTTCTTTTTCCTTCTTCATTTGCAGTCTTGACTTCTTCTTCTTTGTCCTTCTTCATTTCCTATTAATAATTTATTCCGAACATTGTTCTTCCCCGCTTCACTGTATCGCTGTGCATACGAGTTTTTTTCTCGTCCATTCACTTGAGTGTTTTCACGTCTAGAGGTTTTCTTTGAGCAATCCTCCTCCCCCGCTGTTTGTTATCGTTTCATTTAGCTTCTAGTTGTTCATCTGTGGACGAGCCCTGGTTTTGTGACCCTGTTTTTTGTCTGTTTCTTCTCTCTTTTTGATGGGTGGTTTTCATCCCAGAGATTCTTGCGGTCACATGTTGATTTTCTTTGCTTGTCCCCATGTTTCCATATCACTAGCTCTCTCTCTCTCTCTCTCTCTCTCTCTCTCTCTCTCTCTCTCTCTCTCTCTCTCTCTCTCTCTCTCTCTCTCTCTCTCTCTCTCTCTCTCTCTCTCTCTCTCTCTCTCTCTCTCTCTCTCTCTCTCTCTCTCTCTCTCTCTTCTTTCGTGACTCATTACTGCTGCTTGTGTTCGTGCTTGATTAGTCGGTCTTCAATGACTGGATGCTGGCGCTTATCTCAAGGGCCTTATATGCAATTGAAGGCAGTTCTATTTACGTGTCCTGGGAAAGAAAGAGGAAGAGGGAGTAGGACGGGAGGGCATTGAGAAAAGTTATCGTTGGTGCGTCCCCGGTAGTACATTGGGTACTGCACTTGCCTGCGACCCGAGAGGTCGCGGGTTCGAGCCCCGCAGTCGCACATCTGACTGCAAAATCCCCACGACGCGACCCGGCTCACTAGATCAAGGTGTGGGTTCTCTGCACTCAGTGGAGTCAAGTCGAGTGAGCTGCAACTCCCGGTGCCGAAAGGCGGGCTCACGCCCCTACATGGCTACTTCCCCTGGTCTAATAACCCCCAAGACGAAATGATAGTAGCCGACTGGTCGAAATTTAAAAAAAAGTTATCGTTATTATCTTTGCTTGCAGGAATATTAAAAAGAAAATTGTCATCACCCTGAATCCTGTCACACTGACAGTCGAGTCACCACGGTCACGCGGTCATCTCCAACTATTGGTCTGGTTGGTTGTCATGGTTGCATCTGATCGTACCAGTTTGTCTTGTCATTCCAAGAACAGTGGTACCGAGAGTACCAAGAGTATATAACTCTTGGTGGTGCCGCTAGGGACAGAATGTGACTTTTGACTTCTGTGACCTCAGTGGTGACTGCTCCCTGCACGAGAACCGACGTGTTACTGCATACAGTGTTAACCAGGGAGTACAACATTACGTGCAGTACATCGAAGTCGGCAGAGATGTTCATTGGCCATGATCATCTCTGCTGACTTCGAGTGACTACTAATAATTAATTATTTAACCTGAGATACACACTAGTCAGAACAACAGATGGCTTGATCAGTCTCACCTGATGAGTGCCTGAGATGGCATGAAACTATAAGTTGTGACTGATCAAGCCATCTGTTGTTCTGACTAGTGTGTCACGGCTCTGCCTTCCCGGTAATAACCTGAGATACATGGACATGATACAGTGTAGTACATGTATTATATTAGCAAGAGTACGTAGATCTACTGTATACAGTAAGTAAGTAAGCTCCTGCGAGCTTTACTGGACATACGGTAGGGTGCATGGGGTAAACCCACACCGCTGCTATGTACACCACGTACATGTATCTGTTATAGCATAGGTGTTTGACAAACGACTTGTGGTTCTTATTCCCGCCATGTCTTACACACGATAAATCAAGCGTGGCTTATCATAATGTGCACGTTTGGCTGTCTGAGCTGTTCATCTTTTTGGAAAGACCTTCAAAAGTAGCCGCTTCTTGCTCCACATCCGTCTCTTACACTGTCAAGGTCACGGTTAGTTTATCCCGGTGAGCCGCCTGGGCCGGGAGGGGAACGCCTCCTTATCATCGCTATCATCAAGAGTACATAAGGGTTAGGGTTATGTACTCTTGCTATCATGGTATACAATGTAGATCTGCGTGATAGAGTCATAGTGCCAGCCAGGGAGTACGACTACTGAGTCCTGGTGCCAGCCTTACAGTCATGCCAAGTACATTTAGAATGACTTTGAACATGTTCATGTATGAAGAACGCCGTTACGCCGTATCCTCGATTTACATGGTTGTGTAGCCTGTAGGACATCTGGGGAGAGGGTGGGGATTCAGGGGATTCAGGGGAGTGCTGAGCTCATATCCATAACCCATACCGTGTATATGTACAATGTACAATGTACATGTACGGTATGATGTACCATAGCCTGGCCGCTGTGCCAATATGAGAGGTATCAACTAAACCTAGGCTATGTCATAGGTTTAGTTGATACCTCTCATAAGTCATATTCGCACAAAGGCCGGGGCTCATACTCCCGACAGGCCCAGCTTATACATGTCTCTGTACAGGTAGAAGCGTAAGTCTCGACTTTAATGTTGTTTTAGTGTGTGACCCTTGACACCAGGCACTTTCTTCAGGAAGCTAGCCTTAAATCCATCCACTTGAAATGTTAAAGTCGCCCGTGTTTCGTTTCAGAAAGTCTGCTCAGTGTGCCCCATCATCACACCACACCTCAGTCAAGGATCTTTGTCCTTTCGAATGTCATGTACACATGTACGTGTACAGTCATGTACATGTACACGTACATGTGCATGTGCATGTACATGTGCACGTGTAGTATGTGAGCCTTGGCTAAAACATGAGCTCAGTGTTGTAAGATGCATGCAGGCTTTGTTGTCGGGGCGCCACAACTCCCCACAAGGTGCTCTTCTGCAGGAAGCTAATCGTCGGATGATCTCATGATTCTCATCGTTATCGTTTGATCAGTTGCGCTAGTCCGAGTTCATTTTGATACCCGGATTTAATGCAGCAAACAGACCGCTCCTGCAAGCAGTCAGATCCTCTTCCTTTCGTAATAATCTGCAGCCTCAACAGGTTCCTTTCATTTCATTTCTAAATGCATGTGGCTTGTCCATTCGCTTTTATATCATTGGGCCTAGTCCCATTTATTGTGCGAATTAAAATAAACCAGCCAACCAACCAACCAACCAACCAAGCGAATCATTAGGATCATGATCTGTTGTGTATAGACTATCTGTTGTGTTTCATTGGTCTGTGTGGCCGAGTGACTCCCGCTTCTCATTCATGATGTTTGGCCTGTTCTCATCTCAAGTGTAGCTACCCCTTTGCTGTGCGGTTTTATTGGTGATTGTAATATCATGCACGTGCCTGCTCTTTTCAGTTTCCCGCCGTTGTAGGCAGCGCATGCGTAACAGCTGATTTACATTTTTTGCTGTGACTTTTTGTAGGACAGGAAAGCTCTTGTGCTGGTTTTTGGTTGGAACAAGAAGAAGTTTTTGTCTATGTTGAATATTTGTGCGCTCCTTTGATCTTGTGAGAGTTGGGTCATTTTGGGCCAAGCACGCAATTCGAAACATTACTGGCACCTCCGACGGGATGCGTGCATTTTGAAGACATGGACGACGAAGAAACCACTACTGTCGCGGGGAGTGGAGAGCCGTCTGGCGAGCATGGGCAGGACACCGAAGCTGACGCTCCGGAGACCAGCTCGCAGGCACCTCCAGCCCAAAGTGTGACTTACGACTATGTAAAGTTTCGTGCCTCCCTGCGGAGAAGACTGACCAACCTGCTGAAGGTATTGAACACGGAGTATGGGAAGTCGTCGCCGAGTGCGAGGTACCTCAAAAAGTACCTGGCTGACGCCGAAGGAATAGTAAAACAAATCGAAGAAGTGGTCGAGGACCACAGGAATCAATTGCGAGACGATGCAGATTTTGAAGGATTGGAGAAGTTGGAAAAGTGGTTTGAGAAGTTGAACGAGGATTGTTCTCCGCTGGCAGAAGTTAGTTCGCTCCTTGAGTCAGGAGTTTTGGAGTCAGCCAGTCAGCCCAGTGGCGATGGTGACTTGTCAGCGCAGCCTCTAGAGGAAGAGCTAGAGGGCGAAGATTTTGCCCACAGCGCGCCACGTAGTGCTGATGACGGAGGAACGGAGTTTTCTGGAGACCCTGGTGTCAGTTCCAGCCTGAGAGCTTGTAGTGATGATGATGCATCAGTAGTGACTATGTATAGTACTGGTATGTATCACAGTGGCGTCACTGACGGATGCAGCACTGCTGTTCCCTGGCAAACGCCTGCTGCCGCTGCTGCTGATCAAAGGGATCATGCCATTCATGGAGCTGCTCAAGATGATGGGACAGTGGGTGATTACCCTGATAGCAGGCTTAGGGCCAGAGGTGCACTAGCACTTAGAGGCAGTCCAGGAATGCAAGGCAGGGGCAGCAGCGCTGATACTAGCTCTGGAACTCGATCCTCGTTGCAACCTCCAGGTCACGCTGTGCATGCAGCTACATTCACAACTGCTAGTGTTACTCAGAGTAGTGTGCTTGTGGGACAGCCTCAACATCATCAACACTCTGCTACTCAAGTGTCTAGTGCTGCCTACGTTGCTAGTGCAGGTAGTGGTACTGGTACACCTGGAGTCGCAGTGAACAGAGTTGTGAGTGGAGCACCCAGTCAAACTCAAGGGCAGGGTGGTGGAGCATTCAGAGCGAGAGCAATGCCTTCTGTACAGCAACGCCCTCACGCCAAGCCTGTTACTGCATTTTCATCTTCAGTTCTTCCACCACTACCCTCAGCTCACGCAGCTAAGACTGCATTTCCATCTCCAAGACGCAGTGCTGCACCAAGAGCTTACCGGCCTTCTGCACAGGCAGCCGCGCCTAGTGCTCACAGTCAATATCAGACTCAGTATGCACAGCCTGCTGCTCCACACATCAGTCCATATGGGCATTCTTGGTTGAAGCCAATAGAAGTGCCGAAGTTCAGTGGAAAAGGGCGCGATTACATCCAATGGCGGCAGAGGTTCTTGCAAGTAGCCGACTCATCTTTGCCTGAGGAGTACCAAATGGCTCGCCTTCGCGAGGCCGTTGCTGGCGGAGAAGCCGCTATCCTCATTGAAGACCTTCTGGACGGCCCCGGAGCATATGACGCCGCGTGGGCGGAGCTGGAGTCTTGGTTTGGTGGCACAGATCGACACTTGGAGCAACAAATCCGAGATCTGCTCAACCATCCCCGAGTCACTAACGAAAGGGACGTGGAGGGTCTGCAGCAGTATGCGGTCAAGCTACGCAGCCTAATCGCCAACATGAAGCTGTGCGGCTCTGAACCGGGCCCTGAGCTGTGCATCATTGCTACCGAAAAGGTGCCGAGGACAACGCTCATCAGGTATTTTGAGAGGCACGGAGACGGTAACACCGACATCAAGGTGTTTGCCACCTGGCTACTAGAAAAGGTGAAGACGGCAAAGTATGCCAATGACCGTACCGAGCAGCCAGACCGTCAACCCTCCCATGGAAAAAGGCATCATGAAGCTGTTCAGCGCCCCGTGCAGCAACGGTCTTTCATAGGCACTGAAGCTACGGCGCCAAAAAGGCCTCAAGAAGCTCCGATCAAGACGTCTGGCCACTCAAAGACACAGCAGCAAGCACGACAGAAGTGCCGCAAGTGTAATGGTCCGCATCAGCTCGCTAACTGCAATGAGTTCAAGGCACTCTCAACGTCGAGACGTAACGAGCTGGTTCGTCTACTG